ATAGATCACCAACAAATTTTCATCATTCAACATTAATCTCGAGACGATATTTTAAGCAGGAAACATTCAAATTTTGATAAAAAGTCATTCAGAGCTCCGATTTCAGCAAACTTTTAGTCAAACTGACCGTCTTGATGAGACGAACCTGATGATATAAAAACTAGTTCAATCAGAGTCAAATTAAGCCCGAATGAACTCATTGAATCACACAGATGATTTTAAGACACATTTGGAGGGTCAAACGGTTGTTGAATATGACAAGTTTATACTTGAATCGAGCGTCTCGACAAGAAAAATATAACGAGCTCAAAATCACTCAATTCGGACATCATTAAGGCACTCAAATGTCTATTAAACATTGTATGATCGGGGGAAGCTCTCTGGACAGTTCGATCAAAATGTTTCATATTTATGTATTAATGACATTCAGAACACTATAAATAGAGTCTCACCACTCACATGAGAGGGGGACTTAGGACTTCAGAGAGAATTAGAAGCTCTGAGAAGGAGCTGAAGTCCAACAATATCCCGACTGTTGTCGTCAACCACCTCCGACCAGATGTCGTTGATCAACGTTGTAACTTGAAAAATCTAGTAACCTCTCCAGTCAGTATAACAAGAGCTCACCATTACGATCAATGTGCTAACAACATACACAGTCATCAGCTCATGTAGTTCTTGACTTTTGCCTCAGCAATCTACGAGTGTCATTAATACTTGCCCCAACGGCCTACGTAGTCATCAGCTCATATAGTTCTTGAATCTGGCACCAGCGGCCTACGGACGTCATCAATATTCGCCCCAACGACCTACGTGGTCATCAGTTCATGTAGCTCCTGACTCCGGCCCCCGCAGTCTACAGACGTCATTAATAATTGACAACTACAATCTACGTGATTCACAATTCCCGTAACTGCTTACTATGGCTTCTCTGGTCAATCAACGCTTTTGAAACAACCATTTACAACACTCACAATGGACTAATACCTCAACAACAATCAACAATGACCCTTGCAACCTGCTGTCATAAAGAACTGCAGTCAAATTATAGTTACACAACTTTGTAATTTCATCTTCCTTAATTCAGGAAAAGTGTACATGTGCACTCATCATTCATAGTGAACTATTTCAACTGGGCTAAGCCCCGTGGTTTTTCCTCCTTTTAAGGATTTTATATGTAAAAAGTCGAGGTGTATCATCCTGCTTACTTCATTTCTGTTATCGGTGTGTGTTAATTTCTCGTGCAACGCTAAGACGATAATTCATTACTCTACCGCCGCGAATTTTCTGGCACGCATTAATATATATATATTACTAAATAAAATTGAATAATGAGCCACGAGCCGATCACAAGCTGAAACGAATCCAGATTAACTCAATTTGAGCCATATTATTTTGATTTTGAGGCACGTCAAGCCAATTCGTGATGGAACAAATCCAAATAACTTCAATTTGAGCCAGCTCTTTTTGATTTCAATCCCAACTCGATCCATTTGGGTTGATTTCGATATAACTCATGTATGATTTAGGATCCAATATGCATCAATTATATAAGAATAAGAATTAGTGCATGCGGTGTTCTCATGGAAGCCTTTGAAGTTGTATATAACACCAAAAAAATTATAAAATAGTACTTTATTAATCCTGATTAATTTAATTTAATTTTAAGATAAATTATTTTAATGACATATTTTTATCATCTTTGATCTCTTAAATGCATGGCTATTTATTGAATTTTTTTGCCTTATGATCCCATGTAATTTGAACTCTGAGAAGAAGCTTGGGAATTCTTTAGCAGAAAAAAGAGAGTAAAAGAGAGCTAGAGTTGATCCTCCCTCTTCTTCCATCTGCTTCTTACGCATACATCAGAGTCATTGTGCCCGCCCAAGGATTAAGGAATAGAATAATAAGCTACAATGTAGGTTGTACATTATGGATTTCAGGTAGAACGGCCGCCCTCTCCATTAACATCATTCTGAAGCGGTACACAATCAGATTTATGAGATATGACTCCAAAGTTGCGGGAGACTAGCTCTGGAGCAATGTATCCGATTGTTCCACTGGCAGCGCTGACACAAACTATGTTGTAATCCTTAGGGTACGGTCCCGCGAGCCTGAAATGTGAGACTTTGTGGACGAAGCTTCGATCCAAAAGGATGTTTTGAGGCTTAATGTCGAAGCAATTTGTTGGGATGAGAGCTCTTTTGGAGTCTTCGGAGCATAATCCGCTGAGACAAAGAACATTCAGGTGGTGAATTCTTCCAACTTGCGAAATCGTCACTTGGATTCACTGCAACAAAATGGCTGCCAGGGAGCTCCCATATGTACATGGAGCCGTCCCAACTGCTCCTTAAAGTGTCCGGTAATGGCCATAATATCAGTATAAGAGTATCTTGTACGATTGAGATTTTGCAGAGCTAGCAGAAACTTCTCCACTGCGTCTTCCGATGAACATATTGTCCGGAATTTATGAGCAAGGAAGAAGAACAAAGATAATGAAGCAAAAACCAATCTTGCTATGATATGCAACACTGTAAACTGAAACAGAAACAAAATCAGCTCCTTCTTTTGTTTACAAACAATCAAATTTCAATTTTTCTCACAGATCACAAGCTGAATAATCTCCATGATGACTATAACGGCGATCGACGGGTGGAAAATTCAAACTAAACAGGCGATCCAAAGTATAATCTTCAAAGCAGGCTGGAAAGTGCACCTCAGCCATAAAAACTGCTGGAATCATGGATTGGAAATTGCTTCTTCTAAAGTCGTCATGAAACATGCTGAAATATGTTCGGTACTGCAGCCATCAGAAATATTCAATGAAGAACAGCTAATCAAATTAAAAAAGAGGAATTTTAATCCATTCTTTTCTTATTTCAATGAATCTCGAAGACACCTTATTATCAGCATGGATGTGGTGAGGGCATGAGTAGACCATGACAGAGAAAATCCGCCATGAATGGCATCAAAAGGATTTGAGTTTACATCAGTTGCAAGCATCATACACAGAAGGCTGCAAGAAATTGCCAGATCTGATACTAAATAACCAGAAACACTATAAACATATGAATCTCTCCGACTCAAACAAGGAATTAACCAATGCTCCTTTGTAGTTAGCTTTTTTGAACAAATCATTAAGCAAATCCAATACCAGTGTCTTAACTGATAGAATTTGGAAATAAAAACAGAAGTTGCAGGCAATGATTTGATGGGAACACTGCAACCTGTTTCTTAGCAGGCCAACCTCAATAGCATCCATCATACTGTCTGCATAATTGATTTTGTTTACTGAGAACTGATCTGACAGGAACTCCATCAATATTCTGTTGCTGCAGCAAGTGAGCTGGTAGTTGGGATCCCCGCATTTTGCAGGGTCTCCTTTGAGACAAAAGGGATATTGGATCAGAAGATCTCTGCAAGATCAAGGCTTGCAGAGTAGGGGGGATCTTGATGGGCTTCTGTAAATCTGATAGAGGTGAAGAAGAGGAAGGAGGGGATGATATGAGACAGAGATGATAATCTCCTCCATTCCATTCAGTTGGAACTGAAGAGAAGAAGATGAAGTTTAAGAGGTGAAGAGATCAGCAGAAGAAACAGAAATTATTTGTGTGGGAAGAAAGTTAAGGAATCATTTGGTTTGAGATTTTGTTTAGCGTTGACTTTATATGGAGCTTAGAAAAAGTATAATGTTGATTGTCATCGATGTTAGACATTTTCAAAGAAAAAAAACACAAAATTGATTAGAATACCATGGTTTCAAGCCAACCTTGGCATCTATTTATAATGACAAATTGACAGTTCATACTAAACACTGAGTGTTTAAAAAAAGAGGGGGTGGGGGGGCTAGAAATTTACATACATACCAGCTCATTCTTATGTTTTTACATCTCTACCACCTGAACTTCAATTTACATAAACATCACTTTTCCTATTTTAGTGTCGCAATCATATATGTATATATAAGTAAGTAAGTGTCGCAATCATATATGTATATATAAGTAAGTAAGTGTCGCAATCATATATGTATATATAAGTAAGTAAGTGTCGCAATCATATATGTATATATAAGTAAGTAAGTGTCGCAATCATATATGTATATATAAGTAAGTAAGTAAAGTAGTAAGACATATATATATATATATATATATATATATAAGTAAGTAAGTAAGTGTCGCAATCATATATGTATTTATAAGTAAGTAAGTAAGCAAGCATACAAAAAATTTTGTTAAGCGAATTTTTTCATAAATAGCTTCAAAATTTAACTGTTAAAACAATTGCGCATACACGCGCTCACTCTATCTTTGAGCCACACACAAATTTACTCAAACTAACTCAAGATAGTCTCAATTTTCTTTTACTTAGAAAATCTTACATATACAAAAAGATATATATTTACTAGAATGCTAAATAAAAATTTGGAACACACCTGATAGAAATTTAAGTTTTACTTTTAAGTTTATTTGTATTCAATTAAATTGTCTCAATTAAAACGAGCCAGCTCTTTTCAATTTTCGAGCTAAAATGAATCCAAATAGCTCAATTCAAGAATTTTGAGCCTGACCAAACTTGCTCAAAATCTAACAGAACAAGCTATGAGCCAACAGAACAGCTGTGAAACTACTTCAAAAGAAATTATTGTTCAAAAAATTGAAATGACTAGTACAAATTTTTTAAAATTTTTAAGAAGTCTAAAAAAACAGGCAAAACACAGTTTTGTTAAACGCCATCAAGTGTGGTGCAGCACCACACCATCACCTCACCATTTCGACAAACACACCCTTCATGGTTCCTATTCAATCCCTATTATTGCTTTTTTAGCTGAAACATCTCCTATTAAAGCTGAACAGGACTATCATGATCGAAGCTTCCTATGTGTTCACATATTTAACTGCTAAACAATACTTTTTATATCTATAACACCCTAATCTTTTGAATCATATAATATCATCATTTTAACTTTCAAAAACTTAAACACAGCTTTTTATGCATAGGTAAGAGGTGGCATTATGAAAAAAATTTTAGTTTAGGTGTTAGATACGAAAATACATATGAATTATGTAAATACATAGGACATCGTTCTAACATGAGACAATTAAGAACTCACTTGCCAAACTGTAATAAAGGGCATTCTTTGAACTAATTAGAAAAAAAAAAATCTGAGAAGCAAACCAGAAAAAGTCATTACAACTGCTAAAAGCATGAATCGGGAAAACAAGAAATACACAAATTCATCACATATCAAACACAGATTCTTTTGTATTTACATATCAAAAACATAAATTTGAGCTTTTACATTTATAACAATCAAATCTACATCATCACATATAAAATATAATTATAACTAATTTAAAAAAAATGAAATACACAAAATGCACTAAACAAACAAATTTTAAAAAAAATAAAAAAAAAGTGATTCAAATTAAGCTCTAAACCATCATTTATAATGAAGCAATCATTTGTGGGGGCAATGCATCAGAGTCATGGAAGTAAGAAACATTGCAGCCATTTGAGATGGCATGCTTCTCCATTCATGAATAATAGTGTCGTCATTGCAAGACCCCATGAAATAATATATCACATAAAACAAAAAAAAACAAACAAATCAAAGCAAGATAAATAGAAGCATAGATGTTTTAACTTCAATTGAACAAATAAATTTTAGAAAGATTTGCATGCACACCACTCAATTCTTATGTACTTCCATGTCTAACACCTAAACTTCAATTTCACTTTTAAAAGTTATAATGGTGGTATTTTTTTATGTGAGATGAAAGATTTGGATGGCATTGATGGAAAAAGTAAAATTTTGATGTTAGATATGTAAATACATAGGAGTTGGGAGACATGTATGTAAATGCGCCTAAATTTTAAACAGATATGGCTGAGAAAAAACATAGGGGGTGTTTTGTACCATATTTTAACCGCATTTAGCGATGAATTTAACGTAAATCAAGCCAAACACTAAAAATGTGAAATTTAAATCACGTGCTCTGTCAAATTGAATATTCGTTGGTTCCGTCTAATTTTCTAAGTAAATTTGGATTTACTTAAATCCAATTCACAGATAGATTTAAAGGGTTTGGCTCGCGAGCGTTTCTCCATCAGAATATAGATTTATATATATATTAACTGAATGAAAATCAAACAAAGAAAAGATGAAAGATAAATTACCAAATCGTCAATTCGTTGATGATCAATGCAAAGATGAATCAATACTTCATCAGGAATATATGGCTTGGTCCAAGAAGAGCCGGAGTTCTCATCTTGATCATCATCTGATACAGTCATGGAACCATCCGTTTTCTTCTTCTTCTTCTTTTAAGAGATCACTCGACTCACCTTCTTCATAATCTCTTGAGAGCCGTTTTGATAAATTCTTTGAAGTTTGGGCGTTCATCTCCTCTTTTTTAATCAAATTCACTCAACATCGGTGTTAGACCTCTCATCATAAACGGAAAGATAAACCCTAACTAAATTGTTCTACCACGAAATTATTCTCAACCATAAAGCAAGAAAACTAGTATTGGTATTGGAACGTCAAAATTAAGAAGAAATTAAAATTTATTGTGATTAAAAAAAAAAAGTCATCAAATCCCCATCCAAAACCCAACAAAGAATACTCTGTGTATCATTATAAAATGAATTTAATCGATATAGATTGATACAGTAATCACAGTTTCCAGTTACCGACTTCGAAACACTTCGATAAGAAATTACCAGCTTTCTTCTTCGCTCGATTAGATCGCCGAAAGTCTCACTTTTCTCCGTCGCGATGCTCCGATGTCGGTTTTTATTCATGGGCTCATTGAGCCACAAGTTTGTGCTCGAGGTCGAGCTTAAGCTCGCTCGTCTCTTCGGCTCCATAGTTACTTCGGATTGCTTAAGATTAGTCATTTCGATAAATTTTTTAGTGAAATATCCATCATTATATTTTCCAAATGGCCCATAAAAGTTTAATTTTTAGTTCGAGCGCAATTGACATAGAAGCTGAGCTTGAGTTCGCCTCAGACTCATTTACAGCTCTAATCCCACCCAATTCCTATGCTTTGGTGTAGGGTGTTTTAAATAACAAGTACCCCAAAACTTTAAATTTAATAGAATAACCACTAAACTTAAAATTTTATATTTTAACCACTCAAAAATAACAACAAAAAATTAAATATAATGATTGACCACTCATTGTTTCAATATAAATTAAGGTTTTTAGTGATTAGAACATAATATTTAAAATCTTTAGTGATTGACATGTGAAACTACTTTTATGCATCTAACACTTAACTTTTTAAAAAAGAACTATCACAATAGTAAGAAGATAGGGTGAAAGATGACACGCTTGTCTAATACCATTAGAAGAACAAAATAGTTTGTTAATTCATTATTAATGATAAGACTGTAATTCAATTAAAGAAAATAATTGAAAAACTCAAGCTAAAAAGTCTATCAATAATAAATTGATGATTCACATATTCAAAAGCTTTTTTAATATCAATTTGGCACAAAACCCTTTCTTAGATGTCAAAAGAATTGAAACCAAAGGAAAATTTATTTTTCCAAAATAATATTATCCACAATATCACGACAAAAAATAAAGCAGTCTGAACAGAAAGAATAATGATTAGAAGCAAATTTTAAGTCTATGATTAACTCTAATATGTAGATTAGAATTAAGAAAAAATATTTTAATAGTAGAAATACAAACAGCTTCAATAAAATCCCGAGAACCTTTTAAAAAATTTTGCAGAAAAGCCTCCAAGCCCGCAAGTCTTATTAGAATTCACAGAAAAAAAAAAGCATATTTAACATCCTAATTAGAAATTTCCTTTATGAGATCCAAATAATCAATATTATTCAAAACATGCGAAATAAAATAAACAATTGAATCATACTCATGGTTGTGAGTAGGATGATTATAAAGATCAGAGAAATAAAAAATAGCTTCTCTAGAGATATCTTATTGAGAATTAAAGCAAAGCCGATCAACATAAATTTTCCTGACAAAGTTCTTGCAATCATTGATTTTAACTTTTTGATATAAAAATGAGATATCATCATAACCTTTCGAAAGCCAAGAGTATTTAACTATTTGTTTTAATAGTTTATGCTCGCAATGTAAAACATTGAAAAAATGAGATTGAACAATAACTGTCTCTCATAACAAAGAAGTATCGTACAGATTCCTATCAAGTTGAGACAAAAAAACAAATTGTTGATCTTAAAAATTTTCAATTTTTTTGGAGCTTAATGAGATAGACCCAATGATATCAAAATTGGTCTAATCTTAATAAAATTATGCCCAAATCAGGCCATTAAACAACTTTTAGAAGTCTTCCAACATAATTGGAAGACCAAACATACTCTAAATATGCATGTTTGTAGTTAAATCAGATAAAACAAATCCAACGAGCCGAAGACATTGAATTACATCATCATTAACGCGATTAGATGTCCATATAACACCAACTAATTGAAGGAATCTCTTAAAGGCGACCGATCAAAGTGGTCGAGATTTCTTTCTTGATTGCAATTTATACTATATAAATAGAGCTCTACTCCTCCCTTGAGAATGAGACTAGCCAGATTTAGAGGAAAGTGAGAGCCCAAAGAAAAAGGGAGTAGAAACCTAGGATCTTGCACTAAGGATCATCGACCACTACTAACCACCATTGGCCTCTCACTTATAGAGTTACCAACCGTCATCAACCATTGCTCGCCACCTCGACCTGACCACCATCGATTGTCTACTACTTTTTGGAATGAGGCCATCTATGAAGCAGCGTGTCATCCCAAACATTGTGTCGACCCCAAAAGACAATGCACCAAAGCTCCAACAGTCGTTAGGGTTGTAATCGAGCCGAGTATATCATAGTTGAAACTTGACTTGATATAATTATAAGTTGTTTATGATAGACTTGAGTTTGTGTCAAACTTTCATATATTGTTCAAGCTTGACTTGTTTAAATTTCTCAATGTTTGGATTTGATTTGTAGTTGATTTGTTTATGACAAGTTAACATATATTTAAACGAGCTAATGAAGAAGCTAAACATTCAAACTAGGATCTAGATTTTCATACAAAAGATTCAATAAATAAATTTATAGAGTTAATCGTAGCTATTAATTTATTAATTATAAACTCTAAACCCTACAACATCTAAATCTTGCATCTCCTTCATTTTGCCCTGAATCCCTCGCTTAGGAAAAATTTAGTTGAACGATTTGTGTAGCATTCAAGCCCGATTTAACTTAAATCATGCTAAACAACAGAAAATGACAACTTTAAAACCCACAAAAAAATAATATCGAGTTTTTATATATCATATATGATATGAGTCATCAACAAATATATTAATATTTTAATTAAAAAATATTATTTAAATGATATATCATATATTATAGAGTTATTATCAAGTGTTATCAAGTATTTAACAAGTTACTTTTTGAACAACAAACGAGTTTGTTCATGGACATAAATGAACAAATTTGAATATATTCATATTTAGTTCGTTTAAGCTTCAAGCTTTAAAAATTATTCAAGCTTGTTTATTTATTAATTTGAACGAACTTGATTGAGCCTCAATCGAGTTAAGTTTGAGCTTTTCATCGAGTGCATTGGTTCGTTTACAACTCGAACCGTCACTCCTTGCTGCGGCCGCCTTCTATCTCGATACAACGAGTTCTACGACAGACCAATATTGTAACCTGAAGAACTGTGTAAACCTTTCTCACATTTGGGACAAAGGATTGTGCATGTAATCACATACGATAAAAAATTTCAACAAGGCAAAACCATTGATTTTTTATCTTTCCGGATTTCCCATTAAAGTTCTTCCTGTGCCTTTACGAGTTATCTTCTTTCTTTCGATTAAGTGTGCGATGGGTTCTCTCACAACACTAAGATTCTAATTCGTTATTTCACCGGACAACTTTTTTAAGCTCACTAATAATTGTTTATAATTATACTAAACTAATTAAACATTAATTAAAAATTATTAAGTTCATTTAAATTTAGTTATATTTATTAAATTAAATAAAAATTAATATCAATTATTGATTTATAGGAATTTTGAAAAAAATGACTTGAGGCATTTCTTATTTATTCTTTAGGGGCTATATGACAATGGATGAGATATAAGTCATCAAGGGATTTAGTAAATCCAAAAATAGTTAAATCCCAAAAACTCTTTCGCGATAGATTTAATAAATCCACTGAAACTATTTAAAAATTTATGTGAGGATTTAAAAATTTATTATGATCATTAAACTTTAACAACAAATTATAATAGGATTTCATAAATAATTTCAATTGTGATTCTTAAAACATTCCAAAATAATCAAAAATTTCAATTAATATTATATTATTTAAATTCATGATAATTATTAGTTAATTAATTAATTAGTAACACAAATAATATTAAATTTGATATGTCACCAACAAATTTTAATCATCCATCACAAATCTCGATGCAACCTTCTGAGCTAGAAACATTCAAATTTCAATTAAAAGTTATCCAGAGCTCCGGTTTCAGCAAATTTATAGTCAAATTGCCTGATTCGATGTGACAGACCTAATGACATCTAAGTTAGTCAAATTCGAGTCAAATCAAGCCCAGCTCAAGTGAGTAAATCATTATTGGAAGATTTCCGGACAAATTTGAGAGATCAAACGAATGTCGAATTAAGCGAGTTCATAGTCGAATCGAGCGTCTCGACAAGGCAAATCCAACGAGCCCAAATTTGCTTAATTCCGACATCATTAATGCACTCAAATTTCCATTAAACGTCATCCAATCGAGAGAAGCTATCCGAACCGTCTTATCAAAATGGTTCATATTCCTGCATTAATTGCACCCATAAGACTATAAATAGAGCCCCACCCCTCACATGAGGGGGAAGAGGCTTGAGAGAGAACTTGAGGCTTTAAGAAGGAGTTCAAGTCCAACAGAATCTCTGCCACCGCCGACCACCGTTGACCACCGCCGGCTACTGTTGACCACCGCCGGCCATTGTCGACCACCACCGTCCACCACCGACTATTGACGACCATTGCCGACTTCCGTCGACCACCGCCGACCACAGTCGGTCATCGTTGACCACTTTTGACCGGACACCGTCAGACGACGCTATAATATGAAAATCTAGTAACAATTTCCCGTCTGTAGGAGAATGGGTAGTTTTTTATAACAGAGTCAGGTCCCGTGATTTTTTCTCTTTACGAGTTTTCCAAGTAAAAACTTCTGGTGTCATCACTAGTTGTTTTACTTTGATCCGAGTGTGTGCTGAATCCTCGTGCAACGCTAAGACGATAATCCATTACTCTAATACCGCGAGTTTTTTGGCCGCGATAGAAGTTTAATATTTATCAACAATAAATAATTAATTATTGATTATATTAACTTTTAACTACTTATAAATTTATTGAATGAATAAAAAATTATTATCCATCTTTTATTAATTCTCAATTAAATGATAATTATAATTTTTTTTACATATTATTAATCATTTAAATTAATAAAATTAACTTTAAAAAATAAAAAATAAAACCCTAGCCTACATCACTCCTCTCTCTCCCCCAAACCCTCGGATCTCCCTCCCCTTCTCTGTGTTTCGTCCAAAACCATATTCTTCGTGACCGAACCCTAGCGATACAGTCGCAAAAGGAGCTAGCTGGGAACTCAACGACGGGATCGTGGCTTACAGCAACCCGAAACTCCCATTTTTCTCCTTCTTCCGCTCCTCTCCTACCCGAAACCATTGAGGAAGGTAATTTCACGGTTTCTTTTTTTTTTTTTTTTTGCGCGAAACGTCCGTCACGGATTTAACTAAATCAACCGAGTGACGAGATTTAGTAAATCCGCGATTTAAGGCGGAAATCCGTGAAATATGGATTTATTTTGTCCAAGATGGTCGTTGGCAAGATTTAGGTTAAATCCAGCTTAAATCCTTCTATAAATATGTTACCATACTGGCCCTTGGAGTCATTTTGCTTATTATCTATGGTCGAGCTAATTTATTTCGCGATGTAGTGATTTTATTTTGTTGTTCACTGTTTCTTTATCGTTCTCTTTTATCAGGATATCCTGCTTATAGGAACTTTATCTTTTTTGTTGAGGCTGATTAACAGTATGTTTGCTTAAAAAGATTTGAACATTGGTTTTCTTATACGGTACCGTCGATTGGAATGGTTGAGAAGCTTCGTGTGGATATGGCGCACCTCCTCCTTGCTCCAATTTGCACTGAGATTGAGCCTAGGCATGAGCTTGACCAAAAGTTGACTCTGGTTTGGTCTAGCACTAGGTTAAAGGCCGCAGGAGAGGTGGATTTCGATAGGGGAAGTAGTTGTAGGCTCTGGGGAAGCTTTTGGAAGGTTCAAAATGGAGTTTTAGATGACTTGTGTCAGGACCGTGAAATGTCCTGGATTTTAGAGGTGAAATCCAAGCTCTGTGAGAGGGGTAATGGTTTGGGATTAGTGGGGAGAGGCTGCTGAGGGTTGTGAGAATGGTTTGGGAGTATTTTGGCAGGGCTTCCCCAAGGTTTGTGCACACCTCCTCCTTTGGCCATGAGCATGCCTTATTTATAGGCTCAGCGTGGTAGAGGAGCAGAGCTCCAATTGGCTAGCCTCATGCTTCAAAAGGCCGCTTAGGTGGAGCTCTAGTGATGTGGTGATTTCATTTTTTGTTCACTGTTTCTTTGTTGTTGTTTGATTATGATGATCGAAGCAGCTGGGGTTCATTTTGTTAGATGTTCATTTTTATTTAAAAATAGCTTTTTGATTATGATGAACATTGGTGATTGAGATCGGCATTGTTACCAAGGTCTATAACACAGTAGAAATTAGCCACTGTAGTAATTTTGAGGGTAAGATTTGATTAGATTGTATAAGAAGTTCTGTTTTGAGCTTTGTAAATTCTTACTTACCAAATAAGATTTATGTGATACATGTTATAATACTATTGGCATGGAAACAAGGCCATAATGTGGAGATGAATGAATCCAGAACCTCTCTGGCCGTTACATTTCCCACGTGCTATGGTTTATCAGTTTTCCTGTTTTTCCGATTCTTTTCTTCAACTGAGAAAAGTACTTTTTTTTTTTTAATGCTTTGCAAACCTATGAACAATTTTGATTTCTTTTTTTTTTTAAATTTTTGATCTAAGGCATCCATTAATTCTACGATGAACACATTATAATAAATCCGAAGAACCAAAAATTTGATCAAACAGTTTAACAAAACTTCAATCAATAAAATTGTGTCCTTTCTTATAAACCATAGCGCTCACTTCTATGACCTCTTATTACCCTCAAAGGGATTAGATGTATATATTGGATGGGTATCAATAGAGTGGGGTAATAAACATTGAGTTTCATTCGCAAGAGAACCAGACAAGTTATAGAAGAAGGAAGTTTATGATTCCTTGAATCCCTGCTTTATTTAGTTCACTAATTCCACAAGGTATCTCTGCTAACTAAGCTAATAACAGACTATCTCCACTTCATTTTCCCTCATATAAAATCTCTTTTTATACAAATAGGCAATGCTAGTAATATCAAGGCTAGAATTTGTGATGATATGACTGTCTAGTCTTATTTGGTTTGGGGTTTATTACTCAGGTGCCTTTCTGAGCCTCTCTTGGTTCTAGGCTCTTAGGTATTGTTCCTCGATACGTGACTCATGGCTCTCAAGTATTTGTCTTAGGGCTCCTCTTAAGTTCTTCTTGCTCTTTATTCCTCTTGATTGGAACGCCCTTGTCTTGGCCCCCTTTACGTGATATATTTTTTTGGGGAGGTTTTTCATAGCACCCAAATCCTCTTAATTTGCCCCCATGTTGTTGAGTCAATTGATTTACTTGTTAATATAATTATAAGTTAGTGTTATCAAAACACAAAGTGCAAGACTTTATTTTTGCTTTAAAGAGCAAAACACGGGGCGAAGGGGCGCTTTTATTAACCAAAGCGCTAATATGCCATACAGAACTATTAATATATAAATACACCCATTAATAATTGTAAAATAAAAAACATATATTACAAATTGATATAAAATAAAAAAAAATGTGCCGCCATACATAAGTTGAAGCAAATATTGAACGTAAAGCTCGAAATTTTTTTTTTTCAAATAATTTCTAATAGTTTTTGCAACAATTTAAAATTTAAAAATTATAAAATAAACTTGCAAATGAAATTTAGCACTTCGAAGCGCACCTCAACGATGCGAAGTGGGAGTTATGCACTTCACTTTGTTTTGCTTGTGAAGCACGCTTTTAAAAACACTGCTATAAGTGGATTGAGCAAAGATGAGTAACATTATTAATTTGCATGTGAAATTTCATATTTTATGCTAAGTTCTTTTAACTAGCTTGGGAAACACCTCATGTATGAATGACACTACCCTCAAAGAAATCTAGAAAAAAATAATTTTGATACTCATTTTGCATAGTTCCTTAGTCGGTTTGATATGTTATAGAGAGATTGTAATGCACTTTTTCTTAAGAAGTATGTGATTGGCCAACCCAAGCAAAGCTGTCCTCAATGTATTATTTGTTTAAATTTTTATGAGAATTAATGCTTAAACTTAAAAAGTTTGTCTTATGCTAATATTTGGCTTGTAAAGCAAAATTTATAAATGTGTTTTAAATTAGTTCTTTCATATTTTTGATGTATATAAGATAATTGAAAGTTGATTACTATTGACTTCTAAATTCTCCAAAAAGAGCTCTTTGTATGCAAAGTAAAATGGCTTGAATTGGGTAAAATTCATTATTATTGTTATTATTATTATTTGGTATTTAGGGCTTCGTTCAACTGATTTCTTTTGATTAACCATCATAAAAGCTCATTGCAGTCTACCTTGATATTTTTCTTTTCACAAATCAAGAAAATCAAGCATTGATGCACTACTTTCCCATCACAAGAGTGTAAGATTTCGTTGACTTTAGCATTGCATCCAACTTCTTCGCGTTCAATTTTGCCGCCTTCGATTTTGCACCACATTAATTATTCAATAAGGTAAAGAATAATTCTGCTGCATGTGATTCATGTCAAACCAAACAATTTCAATATAAAATACATTTAAAAAATATATACATATAAAATATGTCCCAATTGAATAGCTTTAGGAATTACTCTTACATTCATAAGAAAAAAAATCTATCAATACATCCTTATGAGACAGGCCGCTATTGATCCAAAATCACAAGATGTATTTTGACAACGTGTTTATATCAAACAAAACTTTTATTTTTTTTCATATATCAATTTAAAGCACAGCAAGTCAAATGGATATGCAATTAGGGAGTGCCAACCGCAAGGGTAAAAGAAAGTCTAGCTATCCGAGTTGTCATGAGTTCCTAAACTTTATGAATCAATCGCCTAAACTCAAAAATGGAGTGGATTTGAGCCTGCCTTGACTCAACCGTACTACCCTATGCGAAAGGTTCCCACTTAATGGACTTAGACTAGTTAATTGCCTTGTACGTTTTTTTATTTTATTTTTACAATCATTTAGCTTAACTTATTAATAGTTTTTTGCTGGTTTGGATGATATGGTTCTCTCTTTCTCTATCATAAGTTTGTTTAGCATCTTATGGCAACGTTGAATCAAATGGTATATCTTTATTTACACAATAATTTTTTTTTTAACCATAGGGTTACAAATTGTGTATTTCACGTTCTTACTACTTTTCTTTACATTTGTTTGTCTCTGGCATGTAAATTATGTTATTTTTGGTCAGGTGTTAGGTTTAAACTATAATTGCAATCATGTCTCGCAAAGGACTAATGGAGCAAGACTTGGGTAAGCTGGATGTGGCAAAATTGCATCCATTATCACCAGAAGTCATTTCCAGACAAGCTACTATAAATATAGGTTCTCTCTCTCTCTCTCTATCTATACTTACGTACATATATATATATATATATATATATATATAT